GACCCTGGACACCGTGGGACGACGCGCAATGGTGAGCGCTCAATTTAGACGCTCATATAGTAGACACAAAGCGCCACTTTACATATATTGCATGCACGTAGGCGTAAATCGCATTGGGTCCGACGGGAAGTAAAGTAAGAATTGGAATTTGCAATTCGTAACTCTGGAGTTACGTAAGAATGATCTAACCAAAGAATTTAACACTGAAATTTTCGCAATATTTCAACGAGTCAAGCACTTTCATTTCTTTAAGAGTACTGACTAGCTCATTCCTTAGAAAAAAATGCAGAAAGACGCGACTGGTCAAAAATAAAGAAACTGTTTCTTAATGCATTTCAAGCATCTATAAGGCTTGACTTTTTTCGTTTGGATTAAAAACATAAGAATGGAGTATCCACTGATAAAAACTTATAATTTTTTAATTGGATCATTCTTGCTTAACAATAGCCAATTGAAATTTCGACTCGACAGGCTTCTTTCTCGTCGGATTATTTCTTGATGATATTGATACATTAAACTGATATATTTCAACATGTCATATTTATATGTTCTGTATATGTTATATATGTTTTTTATGATCTATATATATTTTATATTTACCCTATATATATGCTATTTGATTAATATATTTTATAACTTATTATGTCATATTATATACGATATACTATCTCTTAGGATATATTTTCTTATGCACACGCGTTTGTTATTGACAAAACGACAAATTAAATTTCGGCAAACTAAAGACAACAAATTAAGTTATTAAACCGAGACTTGAACCAAAATGTTTCGATTTCCCACTAAATTATTAAACCAAGATTCGGACCCGGGTTTTGAGATTCTACTAAACCATTAAGCCGAGATTCAAACCGATGTGTTTTGAGACTCCGCTAAATTATTAAGCCGAGATTCCACTGAAGTGATTTGTGTTTCTGCTAAATTATTAAGCTGAGATTTGATCCAAAGTGTTTTCAGTTTTCGCTAATTTACTAAGCCGAGTTAAATAAGCCTAGGATAATTTTTTAAAGTTTCTTAAAGAAATTTTCGCGTTTGCAATGATGTATTTTCCAAAATGACGTGGTGTGCATATTTCGCTCTGCATTGTCTCTTGGATGACAATATGCCTTAATATCACTTTACTTCCTCAACAACACGCCCAGAATTTTGAAAATAATTTCCCAATAGCCCGAAGCCGCGTTTATATCGTTGAATTCAATTTAATGTCGTAGGAAAGTTGGACTCTCGGACATGAGCCAAAAGTCATTCATGTTATTTAGATCATGTAATGTTAGCATCTAGAGCATATTCTGGAATAATATTTTAAAGTTTTTTAATATAATTTTCATGTTTGCAAAGGTATATTTTCGAAAATGACGTGACGTGTGCGTATTTTGCTCTGCATCGTCTTTTGGATGACAGTGTGTCACTTTACTCCCTCAGTAACACGTCCAGAGTGTTGAAAAGAATTTTCCAATATTCCAAAGTCGCGTTCTTAACGTTGGATCCAATATATCTCACAAAATTTTCCCGCCTAAATTATTAAGCCGAAATTCGAACCGATGTGTTTGGAGTCTCCGCTAAACTATTGAGCCGAGATTCGAACCGAGTTGTTTGGTTTCCGGTATTATTTGTATTATTATAAATTACCAATGCCAATAAGATGAATTGTGGGGCAGATAGTGCCCTTGGAGGTATCTTGATATCTTTAGTGGTTGCCGAGAAATGCCCGAAAACTGCAAACGGTAGTAAAATGGTTGTCAGCGACGTCGGAAAGTACGCACGCTTCCACGGCTTATTTAACGAATTGTTATTAATAATATTATTATAGTATTAGTATTATTATATATATAAACTCTAACAACAGGATAAGTTGTGACAAGAAAAGTAAGATTTTGTTATCTAGGAATGCTTTGTGCATTTTGAGCGGAATCTGTAACAACAGCTGAGAGAGATACTTTTTTTAAATCTATGTAACATTTTTTAAATTGTATGAACTTGAGTTATATCAGAGAGAAGCATGAGAGTGGCCACCAGCTTAATTTTAGTGACCAGAGTTTTTAGTTAGAGGCGCATTTTTAAGACGCCATCTAACAAAGTACATCTTTACTACGTTTGTTGGGCGCATTTTCGCGGTGGTAACGATAAAATGCGCTTGGCTCGTGCCCGTTGTACTTCCGTACAATAATAGTAAGTTATAAGTAGGAAGTGTGAACAGGATAAGATTCAACAGGATAAATTGTGGAGAACACAATTTTCTTTGAATCACATCGATATTTTTTATGACTGCCGAGAAATAAGCAACAAATATGAGCGGCATGTTTAAACTTGTATATTTATTTATTCTTTCATATTGTCCAGTTTCCAAATTCTTTTTCCTTACAAAATTACGCAGAACGTAGCGCGATAAAGACGAAACTGATGAGAGATGATCCAGTTTTGCGATAAGTTCGTCGCTAGCTTGCTTCGTGCCTACGTCGCGCGGTTCGCTCATCAGTGATGAGACAAGAACAGAGCGACTGGACGTCTATTCTTTTCTAACTTACTATCATTGTACGGAAGTATAACGGACACGAACCAGGCGTATTTTATCGTTACCACCGCGAAAATGCGCCCAACGAACGTAGTAAAGGTGCACTTTGTTAGATGGCGTCTTGAAAATGCGCCTCTAACTAAAAACTCTGACCACTAAAATTAAGCTGGTGGCCACTCTCAGGTTTCTCTCTGATATAACTCAAGTTCACACTGTATAATTAAAAAAATGTTAGATTTAAAAAAAAATATCTCTCTTTGCCAGCTGTTTCCGCTCAAAATGCACAAAGCATTCCTAGATAACAAAATTTTACTTTTTCCTGCAATACCGACGATATTTTGATGTAGGAAATAGTAAAAAAAAACTAACATGTTAAAGAATTACGACAATGCGATTCTTTAAGAAGGATCTTTAAGAATTATGAGCTTCAAATCGAGTAATTTACGTGAGAGTACAAGCATCGAATAAGAGAAAGGGATCCGCATATATCTATTCAATAATGTTCCTCCGTTCGGTTCTACAATTTAAAAAATTTTTCGTTATCATAAAGGAACAAACGTAAGGACGTTGACGTAGGGAAACGGAATGAGTTTATAGCGCGAAACATAACAATTTGCGCAGACAATTATTACGATTGTCTAACATTTATTGCCCAAGTACACGATAAAGTACATTATATTTACAAGGGAGGGAAGAGTTATCGTGACCACGAATGCAAAAACTAATATGACTTACAGCTTAACGTATATACACGTCCCTGAGGCTTATTCTACAATATATCATACACACACTATTATTATACAATATCAATTGCTCTATGCATTTGAACGAATGCGACGCCGTACAGTAATTTGCCAGTTATCACACGTCTACATATATATATATATATATATATATATATATATATATATATATATATATATATATATACATATACACAGCGTATTTGGGGTCATCACAAACGTACGCAAGCGACATTACGAAATTAATAGATTCAAAAAATTCAGACTAGACTTGCGACTTTCCTGTTGCCGTCCGACGGAACATGACTGATTCGTAAAGAATCCATTAGGAAAAAAAAAACGAAACTAAAGCATGTCTAATTCAAGTCGTTAATACGTTGACGATCGAAACTATTGCATGTTCCAGGTTTTATAAGCAACGTTAATATTTATAATACATAGCACTCTCTACAGATATTCTATCATCTACACTTAATTAACGCGTTTATATCTCAAAACAAGCATAATATCCCGTCTAAAGTATCGGTATACATACATTTGAACTTAAAAATTTGGAATGTGACGTCAATTATATTTACTTTCAATTTATCATAATTGTTCATTCGACAAATCAATCGTGATTTACATAAAAACTTATATATACAGAATATTTCGGAAATATAGGTAAAAACTTAACTAAAAGGTACAAAAACAAACAAGAAATCTTAATGATTAAATCCACAAGCTACATCATTTTCCAGACATTCATCTTTTTTATAAGCCACGTGCTTCCTTTATATTTATTAAAAACGCTTTATGATATTATCGACACGATTCAAGACTTTATCTTCATCATAAATTAATTTTCTGGAATTTGATAAAAAAGATAATAAATCTCTTTTCCATCGCGATAATCTAATTAATGCACTAATCAATTCTTGTTTCAAAGAGCAACGATATTATATCCATTAGAAACGCCCGCGAGTTTTGGCTTGTCGAAGATCTTTGTTCAATGTCGCTACGATGTCTACAAGGGGGAATTATTGATGACCAAAACTATCACCGCGTTCTCGAGCGACTCGCCTTTTTTACGGTGGAGTCGGGCGGTACTTGTTATTTACTGTTAGGGAGAATTCATACCTTGGCATAGAAGCAGAAAACAGAAAGGCAGAAGCCAATCAGAACTCGCGCTGTTAGAAAAGCAGAAACTGTCGACTACCACCTGACCACCAGCGCGAGTTCTGATTGGCTTCTGCCTTTCCGCTTTATACTTTTCTGCCATAATGTAAATTCTCCTTTACGCGTGAATGGCAGAACCGTATACCGCCGCCACATTCCCAGGCGGACTTCTGGGAAGTTTGTCTACACAATCTTCACGTAAACGAGACCTTCTCTCCATTGCCACGTTTTCGAGTACATGATCGACGACTCCGCTGACAGCAAGCTCGTCGAAACTTTAAAGACCCACAACTCACGAACGATTCAAGGTAGAGACATGAATTAAAAGGCAATATTTTCGTCACGCGATCTTTATATTATCAAAAAATAATTGTCGCCAAATGTTGCGATCGATTAAAGCTTGACAGCTTCCGACACGACGCATCGCCTTTCGACGAAAACGTTCTTCGATATTTGTACGTGAAATTCCGTATGCGACAATAATTGTAATTAATAACGGGGTTTAAAAATTAAAGTCTCAGAAAGATTAATATTATTTCGGTTTCCCATGTAAACTATTGACGTTTCATAGAATAATGAGCTGGACATTTCGAAAATGATGTCATTTGCGGACTTATATTTAACGAAATCCTTCCGTTTTTTCGAATTCTATTTTAGTTAGTCAAGTCTTTATCTGTAATTCTGAAATATCTTTCGTATGAAACGCTTAGAATATGAAATGACATGTATGAGTTTTGTTAACACTTGCGCGATTAATATGATGATTCGTTTGTAAGAAATTCACGAATCTTTTAATGGTTTACGGATTACAATTCAGGAAACACTACGTTACGGTATTCCCACTGTTCGTTGATGTACGTACTACATGACCATTATTTATCAATTAGAGCACTAATCAGTAAGCTGCGGAAATCCGTAAAGCCTCACAGTGAGCTTAAGGTGGTCCGATGTGCGTGAAGGCAAATCAACTGTCTTGACGACGTTGATAGTAAGTTAGAAAAGAAATTCTATACATAAGTATACTACACGCGAAAATTCACATGAAAACAATTATATGCGAGTCGTCAACAGCTGAGCTACGCTCCAATGCGTGTTAACATCTCTCAGAGTAAAGTTTCACGAACCTCCGCACTTTATTAATCGCTAAATTACAACGCACGAATGAAAAAATTCGCGAACCCATTATTAATGCTCCCTACGGATGCATGTCACACTCCCTTTTGTATTTACAATACACGTAATAAATCTATTCACTACACCGCTCGCATGGTCTCTCGAGGTATTCGAATTAAAAATATTTTATTGAATATTCCGTTAATGACGGAAGCTTCCGGAAAATTATTGTCATCCTGTAACGTAAACGCGATAGTTATCTTAAGTTTGCAATTGTGTGTGGGCGCATATGTGCAGAATTTATCGCAAGAATTGAAAACATGTCCGCGAATCGGAGAAATAAAACTGTAACCGTGATAAGTAGAATCATTTCTTGCATCTCGATCATAACGTGATCTTTATTTCTTTTTTTTTTATTTAATAACTTCCGTGCAAAATATCCATAAATATTTTGGCCACTTTTTGTTCTCTCAAACTGAACATTCTTTTATAACCCATAATAGTTATGACTGTCAAAAAGATGTAACTATAGATAAAATTATTCTTTATATTTTTCTTAATCACTTGAAACTTGTAATGACGTAATGGCAAATTTATTTCTTATTATGAAAAAATCTCGCGTAACTAAATTATCTAATGAAGTTATTGTTATAGAGGTTACGAAAAGAACCTCGCAAAACATTATTGTTTTGCTGACATTATGAAAATGAATACATCGTCTATGAGGCATATTCATCAAAGTTTTTTACAACGCTATTCAATTAGCACGTTTTATGAAGCGCAATTATATTGCGCGCTCATACTATCCGAATATAATGAAGACTATTCACATCTATCAGTCTGAAGAAAATGTAAAATGGGGCAGTGTCCTTCATAATCACCGGTATAGATCATCGGAATAATATCTCTTATAATGTAACATCGTAAATCCATGTTGCAACTCATTTTGAAAGTTATTGTGACATATTTAAGCGAAATAAATCTCCTCCTGATAGAAATATTCTCGGTGAGCCACATTCCTCTGCTTCAACAACGCAATTTATGTCCGAAAAAGGATATGCAAGCACATGTGTAAGATCAATGAAATTTACTGTAAACATGTAATATGTGTCGATTCACGAAGCAACGATAATTTAACATAACGACGGATTATCGTTAAATTCGCAAGCGTCTACCGTCCCAATTATTCATTTATTCGTTACACTTTCTTTTATTTTCTCTTAACGAATAAATTTCAATATATCCTTTTAAGGGTTTCTTATCCTCGCTGCGTATATACAAAAGGGTCTGTTATTCTTAATCGCTACGCAATATGTAAGATAACAGAGTCCAGCATTCTCTAACATTTACACTCGCTATACTAGGAAGGGATGGTTGACGACAATTAAATGACAAACATTTCGAAATAAAAAAATATTGGAATATTTTTCGTATTCGCATCAGTTAGTGTTCATAATAACCTCTGAACATATTGCTACAGAGACTGCAGATTTTTCTGAAAACACGATTTCCTACAAAAAAAAATATTTACGAATTCAGTTGCACACACGCACAATATTATCACTCTCATTCCTCGCGTCCTTATGCATTTGAATGCCATTGACATATTGCAAGCAATATACGTTTTTTGTTCCAATACTCTGAAATACAAAAATAATCATGTATTTTTATGTCTTCATCCAGACCGACATACTGATATACAAAAAAGAGAAAGGGAATAAAAAAAGAATTTAAATTATAAATTTTTTTACAAGATCAAAGAGGGTTATTTTATATTCCATTAAATTTAAAAAAAGAAATCGAAAATCTATTTGCATACAATTTAAATAGATTAAGAAATGTTCTTTCTGCTCCACCATCGATAATTTATTTCAACAGCTTAAAAGGAGAAGTGCGATCGCAAATAATATATATCTCCTTTTTACCGGATCCTCGACTTTCTTCTTCAGCTTTAAGTGATGGCGGGGTCAACAAAGTTACCGCTTGGAATGGAAACGGTAAAAGCCGGCTACGCCGGCACCTTCGGTGTAAAGGGCTTAATAGATTGGTGGCTTCCTACGTCTTTGGATAGAGAGGAAAGTCTATTAGTACACGTTCGGCTTGCAATGTGTTAATTGCGCTTCACACGAGGCATCCTGGTCACTTTGGCTCGATCGGGTACTCCGAACTCCCCGGGTTTCCATATAAAAACAGCTCTCGTCGCTTTACGGCCACTTCATGTAAATTTCATGTACACAGGAAGAGACTTTTTGCGGAGACCTTTCGCCCGCGAGATCTCCCGCGGCGTTATTCTTATCGGCATTCCTTCGTTGTGACGTTTCGTCGTACGCGAGGTCCGCTCCCCTATGTGGAAACGCTTTCCATACGTTAATCACCTTTGCGCGTAATCGGCGAACGCATCGCGACCCCGACCGTGTCTACGTGGACAAACTGCCGGCCAGTATCGCGGTTATGGCGGTTATCCCGAGATTCGTAAACAAATTCCGGTGAAATACCGACGAGGCCGTGGCCGATTGAAAATCGATCTGCTCGTCGCCATTATCGTCACCCTTCAGCATCGGCTCGTCCTTCATACCGGCGGCCTTCTTCTCGTGGCTGTGATCGATCTTCCACGTCTTCTTCGATTCCCGTCTCGAGCCCGGTCTCCGCGTCGTTGCCGGCCTATCAATCCCTGAAAATGCGACAATACAATTAGTTTGGTAACCGAAATTAGAGAAACCTGTCAATACACACACACATACACTCAGCTACACGCGTACACATGTACATGCGCATCAGGTGTATTCTTGATAGGAAATAAGATATTTACGGCAGCTTCTTAATGCGCATCTTTCTGCGGCTTCTCTAAGTAATTTGAGAAAATAATGCGTACCCTGCTTCCCTTTTTCTACGTGGAATTCCCACGGAGCTACCACTGTCGCTCCTGTATACGGACTTGAGCGAGTTCAAGTTTCTGCTTCGACAAAAGAACGCAACACTCCAGCGTGACATTTTCAGTTGCAACATTTATGACTGATCTCTCTCTTGGAAAATTACGTGGAAACAAATTCCTCTCGAAATTAAGGCGAAGCGGATGTTTAGCGCGTTCCTTGTTTAACTTGTTACAGTCTATTTTTTATTTGCTATCACGAAGCACTCGGATCGGTATTAAGTAGAACCCCGTCAGGGTGAGACGGCGACATAAATGGGCGTGATTTTCGCGAGTTAATCGCCGGGATCGCGTTGATAAACGCGACCACCTGAATTTGGGCTGTGATCATCAGAATGGAGATTGAACGTCCGTCACGGTACGCAACGGTACGGGGGAAGCGCTTTACGTCGGATCGTGTTCGAAACGAACGGGCGTAAATGGCGAATCGAGATATCGGTAAAGCCTGTCCGCGAGTAATAACCGGAAAAATAATCGGCCAAGCGGTCGGACTTTCCGCGCGATGCTTTCCGGTTTGACGTATTGGAATGTCGTCCGAACGGAGCGTTTCCACAAAACCGAGAGAGCTCTTGTCACTTGCACGCTCCGTCGAAATGTCGAGAGTTCGGAGGAGGGGGAGCAAGGGGGGCGATATTAATTCTCTAGCGTGTGCATCGGCGTTACGTACGTACGTACGTACGGACGAGACGAAGGTACACTTTTTCTAATTAATCCGCAGGGTGACAGCGCGCCGGCCGCGCAACATGTCGAAGTGACAGCCGGAGACAATTGAGATCGCGGACAAAGGCGAACGCTGATGCTCGTTCAATAGATATTTTCGATCGGTTTGCACGCTATCGAAAGAATCTCTCTCTCTCTCTTTACCCTCGCGCGTCCTTTCGTTGTCATGTAATAACTTAAACGGTCTCTTTTACTATGGGAATTTTATGACTACCAGAGGGGGAATTAGCGCGATTTGTGTGCGTGTGCAAAGTGCGCGAACGTAAAGCGAAATTTTCAATTTCAACTTCGCACACAGTCGAATGGTGATCATTATGCGATTATTCTCAGTGTAATCGCATAAACTTTATTTCTTTTCTCTCCCTTTGTTGCTGCCTTTGAAAGTTTCTACGCATACATTACCTTGGCGCGCGCATTCGGACAGAACTTTGTGGTAATAATAATCAACTTTCGTTCGATGTGCAGGAGAGCTTATGCAACGTTGATTTCGATTCGCAAACGACAATTGTGTTTACTTGTGCAAGGTCAATGCGTTTATGTTTACCCGTAGCACTGTTTGCAAATCTCGGAAAGCACACGCTGCACTGCATATTCCAAAGTACAGATACGAAACGTGTGTGCTCCCGGCGATCCTGACAATTTGGCACAATAACGTAATCTAATAAATACATTAATTAATACGTTTAAACACGCGAATACGTGTACACATATATTCAGTGCGAATATCGGAATTGCGGCTAGCTTTATGCATCCGCGCCGTTACCGAGAAGCCGTCGAAACAGTTATCGTCCCAAATGCCTTAAATTACGAATTTACATTTATCTGCGCGCCATTCTATCATTTTCTTTGATGCTTGCTATGCCTGTGGTAATGAATATTGCGACTGCAGTTTAAGATGCTCGGAGCTCTTCCATCTCACTGCAATTAGTTGGTAATGTGTTTCAATGGTAAGACCCGCAATTCTATTCACTTCACTACCGGCGATGCCTGCCATTTCACGGTAACACGCTTAATAGCGTCTGAGGGTGAGCAATGATCAAGCGTGAAGGTAAAATAATTCAAGTTGTCTTCTTTCCATTCATCTTTTCATCCGTCTCTCGCAAAGAATTACGACTAACGCGAAGATAATAACTCCACCATAGAAAATTTTGTCTGCGTTATCAGCCCGGGGGAAAGGAGGGGGAGAGAGAGAGAGAGAGAGAGAGAGAGAGAGAAAGAGAGAAAGAGAGGGAGGGAGCGAGATTGGGAACGGCAAGAGGTGGAGGAGAGAGGCGCGGTTATATTATTCGTATTATTACTACGTGAACGTGCAGAAACTGACGGAGTAATTTCACCTATATCACAAGTGTGACACTCGTCGGTGTGTATAATTAAATAATACTCACACCGTTACAATGGAACGCCATCAACCTCATTGTAGCGTATCAATTAGATAGCGAAGGAACCGCGATTACGCGACGAATCGCCAATTAATCTCCTTGAGTTATTTCACCGCATATAACAATGTGCCGAGTGTCGCGAAATCAGATCTATGGGACCAATGAGTCGCGCGACTTAAGGAACCCTCCCTGAAAGAACACCCGCTAGTGCGGCTAAGCGAAGCAGAAATGAACTAACGACTATACCTTCCACGTCGTATTTATCGGTCATATCTATATGTGCGCGTGGGTGCTCGTGCGGGTGCGCGCGCGCGCTCTCGCACGCTCTCCCCTCATCCGGCGATATAATGCAATTTGAATATAGGCCATCATGTACAGACTTGCATGCCGTGCGTGCACGTCATTGTACAGACTCGGAACGACCGACGTGATGGCGCGACTCGAGCACAAAGTTCCTTATAGTCTTAGCCGCTCTTAAAGCATCCCCCTCGTAACTCGCCCCTCCGTCCGCCCGCGCGCGCCACGTCCGTCGATAATTCGTCCTTCCATGTTCTCGTCTCTCCTTGCCTCCTCCGTGCTTCGAACACTGGTAAGATTCCCATCGAAGTTAACCGACTTCAGCAGAACATATAATCCACGGCTCGTTCCCCCCTGGTAATTATTGCTAATATTGTTAAGTGTGTGCGCTGTATTGCCGGAAAAAGCTCTCAGCTACAAGCGACAGGGCGGCATGCATAGATCGACCGGCATTTCAATGGGACGCGACCCGTTGGATTAAACCGCCGAGCTAATTACTGGAGAAGTGATTCGCGAGAATGGAAATTCGTGACGTCGCTCCGTCGCACAGTCGTGCGGGCGTGTCCTCCCCCAGCTTTCTCGTCGTCGCTTCGACCGCAGCCAGCGTTTTATTTGCAATTGTCGGTAATTAAGTACCTCGCGCCTGTTCCTCGCAACTTGCCTCACCCTCTCATCCTAATTTTGTTCGTTCTCTCTTATCCAATCATCATGAACGGCGATTTTCGTTAAAGCTACCCCTCTCTCTCTCTCTCTCTCTCTCTCTCTCTCTCTCTCTCTCTCTCTCTCTCTCCCT